GGACACTTATACCACAGTCACCACCTGAGGCTAGAGCCCTCTCGCTTGCTGCTTCCAATCCCTCCCACAACAGGGATTGTATGTTTTACATGGTTCGAAGTTTACCTATGTTTCTGATTATTTTACTTATGTCTATTTTATAATATGATTGCACATGTGATTGCTTACATTTATACCAGGATGCCTTAGGATGGCTTTTAGATACCCACGCATCACTCTGAAACATATAATGTCTCTTTCCGAGCCCCCTTCCCTTTATTTCACTCACTCGAATAGCATACTTCAGTGGAGCATGGGCCATTGATCCTACTCGTAAATTAAGGCCAAGTCTGTTGTCAGGAGCACCCTTGAACCCCTAGGGTATAGAATACCGACTGGCCGGTGTACCCCGAGCAGTCTGATCTTTAACCAGCCCGATCATCTCTTATTTGTCTTCTATTTCTACAGCCCTAACAACTTTACACATGCTTGCCTTAGCTTATCACCGAGCTCATCGAAATACCGTAACTTACCCCAATATATGATATCGCAGAGCAGCTTTCCTTAGGATAACCTTGCACAAGGCTGGTAACTAATCTGCCCAGTGTGAGGTGTTGAATACTCCACTCACGGGTAAAATTTTTAGACAACTGTATTAGTCTCTGCACCTGCTTGTTCACCGCTGTATGCAATGCCTCAGAACCCTCACACTCGTGAGTCACGCATAAAGCAATAATATTTAAAAATGTTGGTGCATCACAATCAAATTATTATTATTATGATATTTATAAAGCGCCATCAAATTTCCCAGTGCTTTACAATTGGTGGACGAACAGACATGTAGTTGTAACCAGACAAGTTGGACACACAGGAACAGAGGGGTTGAGGCCCCTGCTCAATGAGCTTACATGCTAGAGGGAGTGGGGTAAAATGACACAAAAAGGTAAGGATAATATTAGACTAGTGACAGTTGCAGAAGAGGAATCAGTCAGGAGCTATTAACAGTTTAATTGATACGCTTTTATGAAGAAGTGGGTTTTTAACAATTTTTTGAAGGAGTGGAGACTGGGTGAGCATCTATGGGAGGAGGGAAGTGAGTTCCACAGGAACGGTGGAGCCGTTGAGAAATCTTGAAGGCGAGCATCAGAGGTGGGAGTACGGACTGAAGATAGACGTAAGTCTTCAGCAGATCGTAAGGGCCTAGACGGGACATACTTGTGTATAAGGGAGGATAGATAGGTGGGAGCAGCATTATGTAAAGATTTGAAAGCAGGAACCAGAATTTTAAATTGAGCTCTATATTTTATAGGAAGCCAATGTAGGGACTGACAGAAGGGTGAGGCATGGGAGGTGCGGGCGGACAGGAAGATGAGCCTCGCCGCCGCATTCATTATGGACTGTAATTGGGAGCACGTAAGACCACTGAGAAGCGGATTACAGTAGTCAAGGCGAGAAAGACAGTGGAATGGACCAACACCTTAGTCGCATCTGGCATTAAGTAGGGGCGGATGCGCGCACTGTTTTTGAGATGAAAATGACTGGATTTGGCGATAGATTGAACATGAGGCTTGAAGGAGAGGTCGGAGTCAAAGAGAACACCTAGGCAGCGAGTCTGCGTGGTGGAGCTGATGGTAGCACCGTTGACTTGGAGGGAGACAGACACAGGAGTAGCAACACTTGAGGGAGGAAAGACCAGAATTTCAGTTTTGGTCAAGTTTAGTTTTAGGAAGTGGGCAGCCATCCAGTTAGAAACAGAAGAGAGGCAGTCAGAGACACTAGTCAATGCAACTGTTATCTTATGTACACTATTTTTCTTTTTATGCTATTGCTTTTGTTTCTTTATGCACAGCAAACATAAAGAATATATATGTATATATGCAATTAGTATTACTCTAATAAAACATCATGTACAGCTGTTCTGTATACTGGAGACATCGCTATGATAGCACAATCCACTTAACCACTTCCTCTTTCTTTGCTGCTCCCTCAGCTAAGTGACACTGGGTCCCACGGTTCCTAACTGTGGGATCTTTATATTGTGTTTACTGTTGTGCATTAGTAATTTTACTGTCATATATATTGTTGCTATATAATTTTAATATATTTTAATTTATTTAATATATTTAAACCTATATTTTAGTCTTATATTATTAATTTCTATTCATAATTTTGTTTTTTCAGTAGAGTCTTCTTTGCTGTCCTCTGTGACCTTCCTGGCCTAATACTTCAACAATTGGGCTCAGGGATGTCTTTGGGGATTTTATTCCTTGCTCTGTGCTTTTGTGCCGCTTCCCCCCTCACCTACCCATTTAGCTGCCATCTTCTTTTAAAAAGTTTCCTTTGCAAACATGCACATGTGCGTTTCTTCAGTTTAGTGCTGCTTCCTAGGTTTTTTTTCCGAATGCAAGCTTTCACTTCATTAGAGCTTGGTACTTGACTTTCGTTCTCCGAACATGCGCGTATTACAATTTGCTTTATAATGTTCACTTTCTGAATGCATTCATCTGTGGCCATTCAGTTCATTTGATTTCACCTATTACGACAATATTCATATCGCGGCGGCCATTTTCTTGGTTTTTCACACGTTTTTCCCTTTTGCGTTCCTTGTGAGTAAGTACTATTTCTTTTCTCCTGTTTTATTTGTGGGTTATTTAACACTCTCCCTCAGGTCTTATTTTCAATAATTAATCTTTCTGTGGTTTTAATAACTTAAATTAGTATGCAGACGGATAGGGACCTATCTGTACCTTCTGGATCTCAAACACTTATTCAGGTCACTTTGGGGCCTCCCCAGGGATCTCTGGGGATGAGACTGATTTTTCTGCTGAATGTAATGATTCTGCTGAGATGCAGGCTTTATTTGACTCCTCTATGTCAAAATATATGATTAAGGTCCTAGTTTTAGCGATGGGGGCTATGTCAAACTTGCTATCACAGACCTTCACCCAGGCTCTGTTACAGGCTCAGTGATCCTCTCAGCCAATTTCTCAGGCGATGGAATCCTTACCGCCTCCTGCTCCACCGTAATCTGGTTCCAAAGCCTTAGGTATGGCTAAACAGTCCTTTAAAACAATAAAGATGGGCAGTTCAAAATCGGTTACACTTTGAAAGGGCAAAACCCCAACTGTATTATGAGTCTGTGCTTACTGATATCGAGGAGGAGTTCCCTGAGTCCTATATGAACGATTATGAGGATTATTCCGATCCTGATTCGGAGGATGTTGATGTAGATGAAACCATCTCCTCACAGGACATGCTCCCTGTTGAACCAGACAAGGTTGAGGTAGGTCATGTGATCTAGGGTGATGATGGTGGTAAGATCCTAGACCTTCAAGACAAGCCCCTATTTGAGCCTGATGACTTACGTCACCCTCAGACAATGTGACTAGATATATTGTGTCAAGAGTGCGCAAGAAAGCTACCTGTAGTAAATTAGGGGCAGAATGCCCACGCTCACGGTCCCAGATGACGATTGTAAGACACCCTTGGTCAATCCTAAAATCGGCCAGTTCTCCAGTAAGACAGAATTGAAGTCAAATAAAGACTTAGATTTTTTTACTCAGAAATTGCTAGGATAAAATCCTGGATATCTTGGCCCAGCAACCAAGATATTTAAAGCAGTCAAAGACCTAAAATTGAATCGCGACACCATAAGTGGTTGGATCCAAATACTGATATGCTTGGTAGGTAACGCTAACACTATGGTTGCCACTGAATGTCACAAATCAATATTACTTATATTAATATTACTAAATTGAGCCTAAACTTGTTAGTATGGCACTTAAAAAGCCGGGCGCACAAGCCAAAGGTTATCTCTTTGGGGACAATTTCATTAAGGAGTTGGGATCCTTTGTTTTACATTTACAGCCTTAGATAAAGCGAAATCTAATACGTGATCGAACCCGATCGCTATTGGCACAGGAGGTGTTCCTTCGGGATGAAAACCTTATGGTAAATCTTTACAATCTCCATTATTCCCTACTGGTAGTGGGGGCAGACTCACCCATTTTTCCCATGTATGGTCCCTTATTTCATCAGACGCTTGGGTTCTTCAAGCTGTGAAAGGTTATTACATAGATTTTGTATCTCTGTCTGTCCGATTCTCCCCTCTGAGAGAAATAATTTTACCCAATGATACGTAGACCCGGGGGCCAGTGCAAGGATTTTTGGCTACACAGATGAAGTTGCATTTTTTTGGGGGGAGGGAAGTTACAGCTTCACCTGTGTGTCCCCTAATCCCCTCTCTCGAATTTCTTACACCTTTTCTGTTTCTTATTCTCCCATTTTTGTCTTATACTCCCCTTTAGTATATCTTATCCCCCATATTTTCTCTATGTACCTCTTACACCCCCCCTTTGTGTGTCTCTTTTTCCCCTTCCCCAGCCCTTTGCTCCCCCCAGACCCTCTGTGTGTCATTCTCTCCACAGCTCCATTTGTGTGTCACTTCCAGCAGCAACTTGCCTCTGTCTCCTCCAGTCCCTATATGTCGGTATGTCAGTCGCTTTGTGTTCCCGCCAGCCCCTCCATATATCTCATCTCCTCATCCAGACCCCCATGTGTCTCAATCTCTCCAGTCCCCATGTGTCTCATTCCCCTCAGGCCCCATCGGTCTCATTTCTCTCAGCCCTCCATGTATCTCATTCCCTCAGCCCCTTATGTATCTCATTGCCCCCA